CTCTGCCACTTGTCAATTTTCAAATCTAATCTAATCTGGCTATTTAAATAAAATTTATTGTATTCACCGTAATTTATTTATAGGTATTATAATTTGAAAGATAAAATAATCATATGGACTGAATTCTAGGTTAATTATAGAAACGACAACATGATCCACCTTGACTGACAGACAAATATATGACATATTACATATTAAACTAAATTTAATAAGAACACGAAATTAATTTTTAATTTATTTGTAAAATTTGTAGCTTAAAGTTCGTGTTTGTATTTATTGTTTCAAATTTAAATAAAAAAATAATTATTAATAAAAAAATATCATAAATAATTCAAATATTAATAATTAATAAAAATGATTAAATTTAATAATTTTATATATTTTTTATTATTATAACTTTATTAATATATAAAATATATTACACTACAATTGATAATTTAATATTTACACATATATGTACGTAATGACGTAAAAACTCGCCTTGTGCCATACATACATGTACATAAATTTAATTAATAAATGATGTAAGAACTTGCCTTATTCATAGAGTTATCTCCACCAACCATCGTAGAAAACTGTTATCTGATTCCTTCTGTGCTGTATCACAACGTTTTTTAACAAACATATGTACTAAATACACGCACAACTCGTATACCCTGCGTTCAGATATTGACATCGGTGCTAAGTTTCACAGCTACTTGCCAACTGAATCTGACACACTACCCCGATGTTATCGATGTATATAATTACGATATCACACGATAGATATGTTACGAAAAAATGTGAAATTAAATATTTGCGATAAATTTACAGTTTCATTGTTTATTATCTTTTTATTTGCGACAAGCGCTTTGTAGACTAGACAGAGTCAGTGAGAAATGACTGTGTAATATAGTCTACCTCGATTGTTCAGTGTTGTTCTTTGACAGTGCTATTAGTGTATAAAGTAATAGTTGCCATTCATTACGAGGGTTATCAGCTTCTTTGCTATTTCACTTATTAAATATATTACGCATATCGGTATTCTGCTGCATTTTTAAATTATTTAGACGTTTATTTATTTTTCTGCTTTAATAATTGTATGCCATTCATTGTTATTATCTTTAACTATTTAATAATTAAGTAATACACGTGAATTACTGTTCATACAAATATATTACGTATGCTTACATTAAACTCAATCAAGGTTACTTTTACAAAAAATATGCCTAAGATACAATATCTAATTTATAACTTTATATTGCATATGTCATAGATTTTATGCAATGTATCTTATCAGGTATTAATTACTTTTTAATTAAGGGGCATATTAAACGTTTTATACTTATATCTATACTAATATTATAAATGCTTAAGTATGTCTGCTTGTTTGTTATTTTCCCACGACCAAACGGCCGAACGAATCTTAATGAAATTTGATAGAGGCCCGATGGTACAGATGATATTATTAGCATGGGCATAGGCTATGTTTATCTGAAAAATAATGGTAAAAGTTGATGCAGGCGAAGTTGCAGATAACAGATAGTATCTTAAATATTTACGGTCCAGTATAGGTGGCGTAAGTTTGGTGCAAACGATTATTAGCCTAAGCTTGAATGGAGATGCAGACATCGGTCAAGCAGCGAAGGCATTTTTGGGCAGAAAACTGCATGTCAATCATAGCATTCCGCAGACCAGCACAGACACATGTCTGCACAGCGCGCGTCTATTACGATTTATACATTTATTCATATAAACATGTTCGCCTCCCTGATCGATCCGCCATTCAATTCAAACGGGGATCTAAATTACAACGGCCTGAGTCGAGGTACCCTTAGAGATGCCGTCAGACTAAACTCGTATACGTTGGGCAGGAGTTGGCCTTGAGTCGCATCAAAAGTCCTTCCGCTGGTTTGGTATGTCACCTGCACTCGCCCCTTATGTGAAGTTACATACCAACTGCGGCCAACAGTATTGGGATAGTTCGAAAAAAAACAATTTGTTCACAAAAGCTTGTATTGTACTGTACTGTGTCGGTAATCTGCATCGCCGTATACGCTTCGGCTTTTAATCTTTTTGCGTGTGGAGTTCGATTTTCCACAGATAAGAGCATATTACAGAGTTTTTCTAAACATCAGCATGAGTCTGAAATATATTTAGATGTTTCTAACTGTGAACAGTTTTAATAACAATATTTCGTGATAAAGTCTGGTATTGATAAATTTTGCTTCATTAGTTATAGATAACAATGTTAATAAACCTGTGGTGCAATGCATTACAACAAAGCGATATCTTATCAACTATACAAACCTTAATAAGAATTTAGTAGCGACGCGACATTTTTTCATATGCTCGCTATCATTATGTCTAATTCATATTGGGTATTTAAATATAATGATCCGTAATACAAACAGAGTATATCTATAGAAAATTAATATAGAAGTATAAAGAATAATCCATCAAAAGTGTATTACTGGAACTATATTAGTTTTATCATCATTTGATCGATTCAACAGATCCTGTTAAATCAAAAGATACGTGGAGATTCTGAGATATCATTATCATCATTATGGTATAATGATGATAATGATTAACTTATCAATCATGTACCGCTTAACATAGATCTTTCTTAATATTACGTCATGAAGTGTGGTCCTACCGGTTTTCTCGGAAACTAATTCAAATGATTGGACTGTACCGTTTTCCACCTTTTTATAAGCTTTAATTAAAAATAGCAATCTATTAATTCCATATGTCATATACTGTTTTAAACTTGACTGTCGTTATTTATACGTATAATTATTTGGTTTTGTCTGGATAACCTTTCAAAAGAACTGTACAAAAATGTTGTTGAATGAAATTAATATTTAGGATATCATCAATGAAAGAACCTGACATGATTATTCCGTTTATATAAAAACGTCGTTTTAAAGGAACAGTAAAAAATGTTGTTTATATATTATATATATATCGCCTATATATATATATATATATATATATATATATATATATATATATATATATATCATAATAATATTTTCATATATTATATCTATATGTATTGTGACTTGTTACAGAGACAGACAAACTTTCGCAATTATAGTATTACTATGTATTGCTGTAACAATAATAAGATAAATAAAATCGCCTTAACCTAAATTAATACAAAAACATGTATGATTTGATTCGCGCTTATCATACACAGCGCTACAAAAGGCTGTCTTTGTTTCAGTTTGCTATGGAGCAGCGGCTGGTGTATGTTTCTGTATATATATAAAAAAATTACTTCGATATTTGTTTTACAGGATAGACTGTAAAACAAATATCGAAGTAAATTTTTTATACTATCATAGTGGCAAATAAGCATATGATCCATCTGATGGTAAACGGTTACCGTAGTATATGGATACCTGAAACACGTCTATCACGTGCGTTTTCGTCTCGTAAGACACTTTAATATACGCTATATATGTATAGAAAAATCCCATGTTGCAGTCTCCCGAGAAAACCTCGGCAGGTAGTTCATTCCACAGTCTAAGTGTACGCGGAAGAAGCTCCTCTGAAACCACACTGTCCTAGACCACTTAGGTTCTAGCGTGTGTGGATGAATTCCCTATCGATCGTCGTCGTCATCTATCAGCACCGTCGTCTATACCTATTTTCAAACAAATCGGTTCACGAAACAAGTTGCTTAGTAGCTGTAATGAGTGAGAAGATTATTTAAACTATAAAATATAAATTACTTATTTAGTAACTTATTAATATTAATACATTTTTGTATTAATAATATATAGTATTTTTATAGTAACTAGAAAAATACTTACTTACTTACTCCATTAGTTACTAAGTGGCCAATAATGTCGAAATAAAAGAATTGCTATTATCAGTATCTAGTGCTATTATTTTATTATTGTGTCGTTATAGTGATTGTTGTATTGAGAACCACTTGAAGTTATGAATGGGATATGTGAAATAAAATATGGAATGGTGAATCATGTGGTAAGGAAGATTGCACGTTAAAACTTTGTGTATATGTTAGCCCATCGTGACAGATTCACCAAGAATTTATCACGATGATAGGATAGCGTGGAGGTCAACCTGACATGGAACATTGCATTAAAATCTTCAGTTCACATTACTAACAATTCCCTTTTCCCCTCTATGTCGTTATATTAGTAATTGTTATATTGGCAACCAAACCACTTGAGGTTATGAATGGAAAATGTGATATAAAAAATGAAATGGTGAAACATATGGTAAGGAATATTAGACGCTTAAAAGTTTGTGAAATTTGAAATAAAATTACTTCTTATTAGAAGATATTATACTTATATTACTTCTTATTATGGATATTATTTTATAACCTTATTTTCTCCACTCCAGTAATAACTGGAGTGGAGAAAATAAGGTTATAAAATAATATTCAAAATTTCAATTACAATTGTTTAATGAAAACAAATTGCCTTTCAGAATTATGTATAATCAGACATTGCTCATGTTTTTTTTGTTATTACAACAAACTAATCTTAATCTTGTATTGTATATCTTTATTAATTCTTAGAATTTCATTTATGTTCTACCTAAATGCTATAATACAAGAATTTCATAGACTACAGTGAATTGGGAATTTTAATTATGTTAGGAAATATAATAAAACAAGGCATACTACATTGAGAAATATACAGTTTACAAAGGAAAGATTAGCGAGAATAGGGAGATGCGACTCGACTCATCTTAAAGCGTCTTGTACCTAATTTGACTGGAGAACCACTCAGCTTTTATTTTAAACTTATAAAATCGCTCCCCATTTTTCAGACGACCTTAGAAACAACGGAGGCAAGTAATGCAAAAATATATCCCCCATTAAGTATGGAAAAAAGACAGCATAGTGGAAGTTCTCTAGACAAATTGGAAAAGATCCTGTTTGCAAATTACAAATAATTCTTTGTATACTAGCGCTTAATGGGGATGGACAGAAGATGTTTTCATTTGCATAATGAGGGCCTCTTTTGCGTACGTACCAACTTGTCTTCATTTTTTTCAATGATTTTCTTTCCCGTTGTCCGGGACGATAGTATTTCTTGATGCCTATTAACATTCAATGGGGTTAAAGCTTCGAATAAAATGCGTTTTATATCACTTGTACGAACCATGGTTACCTAGAATTTTGGATTATTTCAACGTTCTATATTAAATATATATATAATTATTATAGTTAGTCGGGACTTAACACGATTAACTTTACTAATCGGTGTACTAGGTGTTACTCACGACTTTATCTATTCAGATTTTCATTCACTGTAACTTAAGTTACATGAAAATCTGGATAAAGAAAGGACAATATAGATATGTTTAAACATATTTAACAATATAGATATGTTTAAACATATCTATATTGTCCTCGTGGTACAATCTATCGTTACGTCAATTTTCATTAAGATCCATTCAGCCGTTTTGTCGAAAAAAGACAACTAACAGATAAACGACAGACGCACTTTTGCAATGTTGGTCACGAGCACGAAATTAAGCTAATATATTAATTCAGGATAATTTGTTTCCGATTATGTACTTAAATATCTTTAAATTAGATATAAGTTCATTGTTTTCCGATATATACACATAGAAGCAGTAATTACTAGATATGGTTTTCGCAAACAATAGCTATTAATTAATATTTTTTATCAAATAACACACGTAACAATGTATCACATTTTATTATCTTAAAAAAACAATATAATTATTTAAAAACATACCTGATACTGAATCACGCTTGTTGGGCCTTTAGAAATTTAAAACACATACCTACGCCTCAGTAGAAGTACTATACTTAATGAAACTATAATTACAAATTTAATTTTAAACACTGGTTCTATTGTGAAATACTGTCAAATATTATACTTGTATGTGTCAAATAAGAGGTATTGTGTCAATTCTTTTTTATTGATATATTGTATATTTTATACTTAATTAAAAAATATATATTAACATTTTGTACTCACGTATTTAAACTATAAGTGTGCGAAATTTCATACTCCTCTGTTGCCGCAATTTTCGTAAAAAGCGGTAAAAAGTGTATGCTTTACGTATTAATGTAATGATGTTACTCAGTATTACATACTCGTATTTAGGATTTTGTGTGAATACAAACTGCCAAACTGATGTAGAAATAAATCCAATTTAAAATTAATTCCTTTGTTTATTAAAAAAGGTAAGTCCGACTGGACTTACCTTGTCTTGTTTTTTTTTTAATAATTTAGATAATAACCTAATATAAAATGTTGTATATAAAGCAATTTTACATATATTAAACCTTTAATGACGTAGTGTTATAGGTTCAATCGTGTTTGTATGACATAATAAGTGTATTAGAATATGACAGATTTTTTTTATAGATGTATGAGTAGAAATAATATCATGACTGTAATTCTAGATGTGGTAGTCAGAGGTATTGTCATCTGTCGACCTCGTAGTTAATAATAATAATATCTCAGAACAAATGGTACTAGATAACTGATATAAGTACATAGACACAGACACATAAAATTTTTTATAACTAATAATATAAATACATGCTTAATAAAGGCCTCCGACAAGGTGGACGACCACGGTCAATGATAGGGTCAAGATCGCTAGAAAGGGTTGTTTGCGACAGCAGCAGCAGGCAGTGTAGGATCGATCGTTGTGAAGATTTTTGGGAGAGGCCTTTGTTCAGCAGTGGACGTCTTCCAGGTAGTACTCGTAAATCTGTTATCTATATGACTGCCTGTTACACCACTCATTCATTGCCATTCCAGAGAACTAAGATGCCATGCCTCTTATCCTGTAAATTTTATATATCATTATAACCTGTTTAAATTACTCAACTACAGTACTTGTAAATCTGTTATCTATATGACTACCCGTTACACCACTCATGCGTTGCCATTCCAGAGAACTAAGATGCCATGCCTCTTATTTAGTAATTTCCTTTATATTTTATATATAGTACTAACCATTGTAAATGACTGAACTATATATAGTCCTTGTAAATCTTTTATCCAACAAGTATGGATGCCGACATTAAATTTTTGAACAGATCGTTGCGGCGGGCGTGTGATCAAAAATGCTCGCTTTGATGCGTTTAATTTTAGACGCTAGTATTTTTATGTCTGTGCACGGGTTTAGTTTTCAGTGAAGTCCGGTCTATAATTGTCAATTTCCTAAAAATATTGCACGAAAATCCTGAGTGCAGTTTTTTGAAACCATATTTTTAACGAGCGTGTCGAAATTGTTTTTTCGATACAGGCCAGGTCGTTGTGTAGGGGTTTTGTGTAGTATGACGGTAAACGATATATTGTTGAAGAGTAGAGTTGAAAGGAGATTTTCGCTAATCCACTAGAAAAGAAAATTCCTTGTGCCATACCAAACTTAAAATAATTATAATGAATAATTAACCAAGTGCATGGATTTCTGATTAATTGATATTGTAGTTAAATATAGTTAGATAGATAATTGAACTATTATCATGTTGATACTGCTATCACTGTTTCAGTCATCATATGCTGATGCGTGTCAGCGATGACTAGAAATTTTAGTGAGACTGAGTTTTTAAATTAAAATATTTTTATTATTTTTTTATTTACATGTTTTTTAAAACATTAAACACGTTTTAAATCTAACCTACACCAATGTACCATATTTATTTATAACTAATAAATCAGTTACTTACCATCCCAACTGTTATTTTTGATGGGACAGAGGCAATGTCTGTGTCGATATTATGTTTAGTTCTATACTTAACATGCCTTGTTTGTTTGGTTATAACATCCTGTTATGCTGTAATCAAACGAGTATTTCAACTGTCTGATTCATTCGTTCTTTTATCGATATGATTATCAGCGGAGAGTCAATCGGAAATATAAATTACATAAGTTTTTGGTATCTACCAAATTTGAATTCACGGCCTTCAGGTTCTAAGCCGGAGTAATAAACCACTAAGCTATTATAATATTTTATTGGCTAGATTTCTGTTTAGATCCATTACACTTCAAAGCAGTGAATAGCCAACTTGACAAAGCACCTGCTATTAATAACGATCGAGAACAAAGGTGATGTAATTTAATGAATGGATACGTTACGACCCTTTCAATGTAGAAGTTTGCACATGTGCACACACACACACATACACACACACAGGGTTATATGTAGTCTGTGTATATTCATATGTATATGTACATATTCTACAAAATTATTATTTTATCGAGATAGACTTCAAAGTCAGTTGAAGTGGTACCTCTTTCCCACTTACTTCAGCCGCCAAGCTGCCTACTTTATAAGAAGTAAGTGAAGTCTTAACTTGATTGTAGATGTTGGGTAAAACAATAATAAATTAAATAATACATTAAAAATTACGTTCTAAAGAGTCACGAGTTATAATTTTGTTGCAATATTCAGCGAGGTTCTAGCTTATAAAGATGGTTTAATTTCTTCAAACGTATTTAAGAATCGTCTCCATTAAACTAGACTTTCAATAAATTATTCTACCTATTCAGTAGTTATACTATTATGACTAAGTATAGTCAATTATTTCTGACATGACACCCCTATCTATCTACATATCGTTTGTCAAAAGTGTGAAAATATGTAAGATGTAGGTTATGGTATGATACGAGATTCTTACCGAGATGTTCCCTAGAGATTATACTATAGGGTCCGTTAAAAGGGTCTGAAGAGGTATTTTTGAGGTATCACGTGCTCTATGGTAATCATTATTATGATTGTATCACATAATGTTTAAAAACGTCTTATTGCAAAACTACAGGGATATAACCCATTCAGAAGGATTGAGTAAATACCAAAATCACAATTAACAACTTGAAAATAATAGGTAGCCTCGGTGGTCAAGTGACTTAGCACTCTGCCTTGCATTCGATGATCAGGAGTTTATTCCATGTTCTATCCAAACATTTATCTTCATGAGTATGGCTGTTTTTATTGGTCTGGGTCTTTTCAATATATATTATGTATGTATTTACAAAAAAATGTATTTGCTATCAGTTGCTATGTACAGTACCCATAAAACGTTCTCTGCTTAACTTAAGACTAGATGATGCTGTGTGAATTGTACAAGGATGTTATTATTATTATTTCTCTTTTTTTATTGTTTTTTGGTCTAAAAGAAGGTAATACTCATCCTCACGGGCCTTAGTTAAGTGTAGGAGAGGTTGCGAATGAGAGTATGTTATAACTGAGGAAGTAAAAAAAATTCTTGTGCTACGGCAGGTGTTCAGTATTCATGCGTGACGGGGGGTGCCTGGAATCCTCGGTGAAAACCGGGGAAATCCGGCGCAACTCCCAGGGTACGGGATCTATCTGGGTGCGGTGCCCAGTGGCCGCCGCGAGGAAATTGGTCGAGGCCGGCCGACTAAGGGTCGGATGGGTGATGGCGCGGGTACAGTCGCTGGACCCGCGTCCTCAGCGGTGCTATCGCTGCCTACTTACAGGGCATGTGGGCGTGCGATGCACCGCAGTGGAAGACAGCAGCGGAATCTGCTTCCGCTGCTGCGAGGTAATCATTATTATGATTGTATCCATAATGTTTAAGGCCGCACGGTGCGCCGCGCCATCACCGAAATGTCGGTATTGTGCTGCGGCGGGTCGCAAGTCCGACCACAGAGTGGGCGTCACCAAGGAGTGTCGCCCGCCGAAGGCCCGTGCACCGGCACCGACCAGCAGCGGCAGAGGGGAAGGGATGGACACCTAACGGTTGGACATCCAATCCAACCGGGGTCACAGAGCTGCGGATGGGTAGGGCCATCCAAAGCTCTCTGGACGGAAAGTGGCCCGAGCGGAGGCGCGCGGCGTATATCCCTTGGTGCCTTCTTGGGGTGTCCATTCAGTGCTCAAGGCGGGGAAGCGGACGAATGTTGTTTCCCGCGACCTCGCCTGCTACGAGCAGAGAGGTATACCATCAGGTTTTTAGCCGGTAGGAGTCCGGCAGTACCCACTCGCCCCCTATGGCGACTGGGTCTCCATGACGGATTTTCCTGATGTAAAAAAAAAAAAAAAGGTGTTCAGTATTCACGTTCGCGTTCTTTCTGTCGTACTATTATTATTTTTTATAAAGAGTATTAGCTAATGATATTGTCAGACACGTAGATGTGTACCAGTAAAGTATTGTCACCATCCTCTTATGTGTGTTGGTAGAGCTATACATCAGGAAGGCACTGTTTGTATAACGTACGTATTAATTAATGAATCCTGTCCCGCGTTTCTGAATTGGACCAAGAGTAAAGTGGGTAGCGATTTATATTAAATATGTATGAAATTGCTACATTGCATGCCATAAATCATAACATGTAGGTTGAATTTTATGGAATGCTATTTAATGATCATATTTGTAAAGAAAAAATCATAAATTGTAAAAATCAGATTTTCAAAAATATGATGAATTTTTTTCAATGTTTTGATTTTAGATGTTATAAACTCTTTTGTATATATTATACAATATTATAAAAAATGTACCTAATTAAGACAGTTTCTAAGTTTTTTTAATAATTAGTTCAGCCCGCTTAAAATAGTTTATAATTATTCGATTTTGAGTAGCTATGTAATTCTGTAGTGGGACTATAGAATAAGATACTGGTAGTTTACCAGAGGGGAAGGATATACTAACAATATTACTAATAATATTATCAAATAATATTAATTACTAACAATGTACCCTGTCAGATTGACTTCCACGCAGAAACCTGAAAACCATGGACTAACTGAACTGACTTCATGTTCATTTTACATATCATCCTTCATTGGTGCCTGTAAACTCGTAGCGCAAGCAGGTTCATGATTCCATTATCATCCTTAAAAAAATCGTCAGTTCACCCAGCAACGTTGAAGCGGATACATTCCCGTGTTTTAACACTACCTCGGTCTGTAAGACTGGCGTCATCAATTATGGATATCAAATCAATGTCACCAATGTTTGGTTAAATACAATCGATCCAAATACAATAAGAATGCTTGATTACACATAAGATAAGTTGTTTTTTTCCTTATCTACTGGCGTTAGCTGCTTGATGAGTGAATATAGGAAAAATATAAGTAAGAAACTTTTTATTGTTTCTCTGACAGAAAATATAAATTTATATAAATCACTTTGTAGTTATTAAAACCAAATAAATAAAATTGGCAACACCAAAACATACTTATGCCTTATGGTTATATAGCGATATTTTTTCATCCTTCTTTAAGTTGTAGAGAAGAGAATAGACCGGCGTCTGGTCGAAGTGTAATAATAGTTTTGAAACTTCTACTAACGACGATTTATAACGATTATTTAGATGTAGCGGTGTGACATGCTGTCTCACTTCCAGCAGTAACGGGTTCGATCTCTGCAAAAAAATACAAATATTTGTATACAAAACAGTATGTACTAATACAAAAAAAATCTTACTCATCCAATAATAATATTCCAATCCCATCAAAAATAATTGTACTTTTAGTATAATTTCTGTTTAGTTTTAGGACAATTTTTTTTATTTATTTTTATCAATTAAACATTATTAATGGGTAAGGAAAATATTATATCGCTATAAACTTATAACTTAAATTACGGTGAAAGCTTGGGATTCTCGGGTACAAGGCATAAATCTTGGCCACAGCTCTTTCGCAGCATCCGGTTGTGCGATGCCAGCGCCCCCATGCTTTCTCGACAATAATTAATTCAATATTTTCCCCTTTAATTAATAAATTATTTTAATGCGCATTCACTCCTTCGCCATCTGAATACTTGCGATCACTGATTTGGCAGTTTACCAGATACCTAAATTCTATTTAGCGATAATATACAATATTATCAATAGCAAAACAACGTGATAGCAAAAGGGGCTCGTTTATGTATTTACAATACAATGTGATAGTGATTAATAATTATTAATACAGAACATCCATTTGGTGAAGTATACTTTTTACATTGATATTTTGAAATAGAAATAGAAATAATCTTTATTCAAATAAACTTAATATAAGCACTTTTGAATAGTCAAGTTTGTTTATTCTACCGCTTATTCGGAATGCAGATTCATCACAAGAAGAATAGTAAGAAACTTGTATGTTGCTCTTTTAAATAAATATTGATTTACTTATATTTAATTAACAACAAGGATTAGGCATGCGACAATTTACATGGAAACCGCTACGCTCTTAATCTCTGTTCAATCAGATAACATTGTCAGTGCTATGAATTGTAAGTGAGATATTTTCTACAAAAACATTATTATCATTTATAAATTCTTCAATTTTATAATAAGGAAGTTTGTTTATAACATATGTACTATATATGTATTTAGGATATTGTCACCGATATTACGAATCTATAAAGAAAAGCAACTGGTTTTTGTCTGGTTTAATTACTTCTTTTGCTAAACTATGATATGAAATTTGACTTCCTCGTTTATTTTTTAAGTGATGATGAGAGGCAACCTTCATTATTTCCTTTATACAAAAATAACGTTCTTGTTTTGTTTTTTTATTAAATTTATATTGAAAAAGAAACTTCCATTTCCGGCAAGTATAAGTATCATCGTTGTGAAATATCATTATTTTCTCTTATCATTGTCTGGGTATCGACCACTCGACGAACAATACTCCCTGTCAATAAGGATGGGACACAATTGTATCGATTACAACAATTTGATGTAATTATCGAGATCATTTTACCAATTGTCACAACAAAATACTTTTCTCAAAAATACAGGTTTTAATTAATAGAAAATAAAAATAGGAAACGATTAGCACTTCAATGGAGTGTGTCGTTTGTTTTTATGTATACGTAACAATTAGATTAACGGGGGACTTTTTTATAAACTAAATGATAGATAAGATATTAATGTTATTATTTAATTCTTACCTGATTTACAACTCTGTCTTCGGTATGTTTTTTTATATTTAAAGTTTTACGTGCAAGTTGCACGTATTCGAATTTATCAATCCTTTTGTAATATTTCGTAACATTGTACTATTCGATACATCGCGTATAATACAAAATGCTACATTATGAATCATAATATATTTTAATTTTAGCAATTTATCTATATTTACAAATATATTATACCCTCTTACTGTAAGATGAGGAGTGTACTGAACTTTTTACCTATTTTTCATAGATAATAATTGAATGGTGCACCTGCCTGCGCTATCAGTAATTTCACATTAGTATATAGTTCGAATTGACAAGATATTTTCTAGTTACAGTAGTCAGATGCATTTAGCAGAATGCTATATAGAATATATTATATATGGTAGTATGTCGTAAATGTTTACTCTGTGTTATCCGCCTAGATCTATGTATGTATGTGTATTATTATTTTATTATGTTTATTATATCTGTGAAGGTATCCGCAGAATACCAGCGTCGTGGCACCCCGTCACGACATATGCTGAGCTATTTGGTATTATAAAATTAATATAAACCGATAAAATGTAAATTAAAATTTAAAAATTATTTTCAGTATGCTATGTACCAAATAAACAATTTTCTTTCTTTCTCTTCTATACTATATATACTTGAATAGAATATGTCAAGTCAATTTTATGTCTGTTATATTATATCTCAATTTTATTCATTATATTTTCGTATACCTTGTCAATCTACGAAAAAATATTTTAAGATTAACTTCTACCAATTCCAAATAATATTTGATATGGTACGATATGAAGTTTAATATATGTAGATATATTCAATATCGGCCTAACGTTATCGGTATTCGGAATTCTTACTCATGGATTTAAATCTATGTATTTTGAAATATTCTTTGATTAAAGCTATATTCGTTACTAATTTATATATATATGTATTTTATGGGAACTAGATCTTATTAATATACATATATACGTACTATTAAATGCCATACAATTATTTCTCTTTAATAAAAAAAACAATCAATGCTGCCTATCCGTAATTATTGATTCCAAAGGTCTGGTTCTTGACGGACTGAAAATCCTTAGATGATGATGATGGTTCTGCAAATAACGATGATATAAAAACTGCAATAACATTATTATAAATAAAAATGCTGGTACCGGACCGACTTATAGTGATCAAATAGACAGTACGATGTTTAGAAAACGAGTTAAGAGTTTCCGTACACAGACGTATCCTATGAGAGGTTATGAAAATGAATTCGGCTACAATTCATTTCCTCATCCTGTATTGTAAGGGATTTATAATATATTATATATTTTGTATTCAAGACATGTCGAACATTGTTTTATTACACAGTTATATTTTATTAGTGATGCGCCTCGACTTCGACTTCATGCGGGTATTAATTGAAAAATCCGCAATTACGTATAACCTTTAAGAATTATATTTCTAAACCTTCCTCACATTAATTGATCATTTAATTGAAGGATGAAAACCATATAAAAACTGTACTATAATATTTATAGACAGACTTTGTTGTAACGTAGGCCATCACTAGAAAGTGGCTCAACGGTAAATGTAATTCATGGGGACAATAAAAGATAGTCGAACGGACCGATCCGTCTCCGAAGTTCATTAGCAGATACTATCACCC